AACGAATCTTGGTAATCGTTTTTATATGATACAGCGTGGACATCGATCGCTGTGAACATGTTGTGAATGCGTAGAACACGGTAACCGTGCGTAAACTACGCTTCGACAATGACCTGTTAGTACAAGTAAAATGCGATAAATATTTCATGCCATATTCAGTTTACCTCTCAAAAATGGCTAGTTACTAGTTTTTTGGGAAAACCATGTCGTTTATTCGCTGAAATCAATTCCAACAGATCGTACTTCGACATCGATTATTCACTTCCGCATTGCGTTACCGGAAAGTCTTCGGGAATTTCCAAAGAATTGCGTCAGTACAACACAGCATTCTGATTAGTTAATAACCAACTTTGACCCATTAGGTCAAACGACGCTGCTGTAGGTCAAATCTGCAATTGCATCATGGCGGAAAGTGATTTTCATCGAGAGTTTGTGTACGATCCAACAACTTCGTCAGTGGAAATAATATGACAATTTTGACTTTGACTGTGTTTCAACAGACTCAAATGTTTTTAATTCCATGAATTACGGTGCTACGTAATTAATATTGTAATAAAATGTGCATATTTTTTGTGATCATTTCTGTTTTTTCATTGTGAAAATCGATGACGACGCAAATTAATTTAGTAAGCGCCCACCCCTACAAAATCGTGATTTTCTGAGTTGAGGCCCCTGGGCGCTAACGCGGTCGAGTACGGTAATAATTTGGAAGATCAGATTCTAAAACGCAGTGTTGTAAGATTATTTTTTCAGATTATTGTCTTACTGGATTAGAAAGATAATGGGGAAACGAAAGTCAGATTAGTTGAGAAGAAGAATAGTATCCCAAAATTCCATGGTGCAATCCCAGGGGTTGAATAAATGCCCTTCAAGAGAAGGGCTTCCAGTATGTGATGTGATAACTCAACCTTGTACCATGCAAGATATTATGAGCATTACTGATGACACCACTTTTAACAAAACTGTCAGGGCTTAAAGACATGTCAGCAACAATACCAAGCTTTGTACAACAGTGATAGAAGAATGTTACACTTGAGTGCACGCCAATATAGGCAAAGCTATAAACTTGACAAAACAGTCACTCTGACAATCGATGCAAGTAATGTGATATAAAAGTCCAATCAAAGTACTCAATGCTGTGTCCATCAACGAAAAAGGATGGTGGCAAGACGAGGTTCTTTACCAATACATGTACATATACAACACTGACTTCAAAAACAAAATTTCTGCAATCACCCATACAATGAATTTTTTAGTGTTTTTTTGTCCACACACCTTTACATTCCAAGGCACTCAACGTACATAGAGGATCACAATAGTGCATACATTGTCAGAGCTCAAAACTAAACACATTCCTGCAAGGTCACTATAGTTTGTTTGGAAGCTGGTATTCCCATAGGTAGCCCTATAGGGACTTGAAGCCATGCACTAAGGTGTGAATACAAATAAATAGACTTTGTTCAATTTTTGGAGGACACCCATAGTTTATAAAGAGATGGAGAAAAAAAGTAGCACAAGAAGTGTTTCATAAATTATTATTACCGGTAGTCCAGTTTTAGTTACTAATCTCGGAGAAGGACAGCCATGTGACAATAAATTGTAGTCACACTATCTGCATGGCACGGAGTTACTGTTAATTTTCAGCCCAGTTTGTTCAATTGTTCTGAGCTTCAGAAACACATTGGTAACATGTTTACTGACTTTTTTAAGAAAACTTAAGAAACACAGTTCAATGTTTTCACAGTACATTCATTTGTACAATTGTCATTATTGGAATAATAACATGTCAGCATACAACTACAGACAAATTCAAATTTATCCGTGGTCCACAGCTTCACTAGCGGGAAAAGTTTCATTTTTGTGGACTAAATTTTACAATTTTAGAGCAATCAACATTTTCACAATAACTAACTTTGTAAGCAGAATTGTTCATTCTTAATACAATTATTTTTAGTAACCTTGCCAGCCAGACTTTTGATAATTGTCAAGTTTGACTTTTGAAAACACAAATTATCTTTAACAGTTTAACTTGGTACATTTAAACTAGTTAAGGTAAAAATGAAAAAAAGTAATTAAATTATAATTTAGAATGTTCTCATTAGAGATGAGACATGAACCTTGTGGTTTATATTTTTGTCTCAAGTTTTTTTACTTTCAAATGTAAATGACAGTTTATAAATGCAAAATGAAAATTCTAGAAACGCCCGTTTTCATACCAACTTTTGAGCATTATACATGTAATCTTACCAGGCAAAATGTTGGTGTAACATTTCGACTGTTTTTATGTATTTGGTTTTTTTTGATAATTTTGAATAAAATGGACATAATTTTCTATTGGCTACGAGTCTTGATTGAAATTCAAAATTTGTGAAATTGACAAATGTTGACTTTTGTGCTATAAGGGTTAAACAAGCTGTTTTACAACTGACAAAAGGGAAACAAAATACTTCACCTCTCTGTCTCAAGTCTCTCATGGATGGGTAATTATCTCAAACTTTCTAAACTAATGGAACAATTCTGTCCTACATACATACCGGTACATGTATTTTCTGGTGAGAACACTGCATACATAAACTTTTCTTTTTGCTGCATTTTATGATGTGATTAGATTTTCTGTTACCGCAGTTATTCTGTGATTAGTCACTCTTGAAAACAAAAAATGAAATAATTATTCTTACCTTCCCCTCTGTGCCGGATGTTGCAGCTTTTTTTCTGGGTGGTTCAGTAACTGCTCTCCCATCTTTATCCTTTTTAATTGTCACGGTAATATCGTCTAAGTTCTTGGATGATTCATCTTTCTCACCTTCATTGCCGCTAGATTTGAGCTTCCTCTTTCTTGCGACAACACCTGCATCCCCAGATGCGTCTTTCTCTTCGTCATCAGTTGGGTCGTCTGTATCATAAATATCACTGTTTTCTTCATCAAAATTACCATCCTCATCAGCTGAGCATGGTGTAGTAGGCGTGGTATGACCGTCATCACTTCTCGTTTCACTTTTGGTACTCCCCTTTCCACTTTGCTTGTGTGTCGACTGATTACTATCTTTTCTGGATGTCTGACTTCTCTTGATGTCCGTGAATCGCGTCCTATCATCATGTCGGCGCTCATTTGGTTTACTATACTGAGATCTGTGCTGCTGCCTGGATAGCAGATATGGTTTGTCACGGCTATCTCTCTGATTTTGGTTTCTTCTACCACGGTCCTGGTTTCGGCTCATGTCGTATGTGCTTCGATTTCCGATATCTCGTTGACGTCCACTGTACGGTATACGCCTGCTCATCAGATCCCCCCGGGGGCTGGTGTCTCTGGTCCTACTACCGTAACCGCCTGCGTTTCCAATTCTTCCAGGCTGTTGTGTCATCTGTGCTAACATAGCTTGCTGCAGGCGAACTTTGGCTACCAGAGAATCATCTAATGGCATCACTCCCTGCTGTCCCATTCCACCACTGCCAAGTCCACCACCCAGATCAGACCCCCCAAAACCAGTATTGCTTCTAAAATCATTGTTACCATAAGACGACAGATTGCGATTTCCAAAGTCGGACCCACCACCTAAATTGTTGCCAAAACTCTGATTCATCCCCATGCCAGATCCGAAATTAGATGGTGCCATTCCAGGCCCTGGGCCAAGTAGAGATTGTCTGTTATTAGTGGTTGCCATCAGACTTGGTAGATTTCCCCCAATTTGACCGCTAGGCCTGCCACTCATCAAATCAGTCCGCTGGCCGCTGGGTAGATTTCCCCGAGGAAGACAACTCATCAAGTCAGTCCGCTGGCCGCTTAGTAGATTTCCCCTAGAAAGACCACTCATCAGATCAGTCCGCTGGCCACTCGGTAGATTTCCCCCAATCTGACTACTTGGCATACCACTTATTAAGTCAGTCCGCTGACCGCTTGGTAGATTTCCCCCACGATTACTACTCATAAGGTCGGTAGGAGCGTTTCCTAACAACCCGCCGCCACCTCTCCCAAGACCGAGAGACAACAGACTTGGTATCGATCCGCCACCAGTGCCTGTCCCTCCGCCGCTGCGTTTTGTTGTACTCTGCCATGACGAACTGCTCGACTGCATCGTGCCACGGTTGTATTTACTTGACATTTCCAACTTCTACCGTCCGAGTCACTTCTCTGATAACTCACACGCAGTCCCTATTTCAAGGAGACGATGAAACTGCACGTGAACACGTTTGGTTCCGCTGTTTTGCGTGAAAACAAAGACACGGCACGCTTAGAGTAAATTCGGTGTCTTGGTGTTTGCTTGTTTGTTAAGCGCATTCCTCCAGTGATGTGTGCTGCCAGGGAGCGAGTACTATTCGGTCGAGTTCGACCGAGATCCGCAAGAATCTGAAGTAGGCGGTACAAACAATACATTGGAGGAAAACTTATATAATAAAATACAATTGTTTTTGTTCTGGGGTTTTATAATAGATTGGGGAAAGTCAAAATTACGTAAATTATGTTTTAAAGCGTCGACAGAGGGCGCAGCCGACGCGACCGCGCAAGTTTGTCCAACTCTGCCTCACACGACATAGATGCTAATTATTGAGTACCCCCCCCCCCCCGTGAAATTGCATATGGCGGCCACTGTGGGCGAAAGGGTGGTTCCCTTTTTTTATTAATATCCCATAGTTCTGAGGCTATCATTTATCTGCGATATTTAGTAAATATTTATAAACAGTAAACTGTATGTAGACTTGCATACAGTCTCCTGTTAATTGTTTGGTGTTCAATAAAATAAAATAAAATATCAATGTGTTTAAATGGAAAGCTGGGATACCGCGAAATAAACAAGAAAAACTAGTGTTTATTTCGCGGTAACCCGGCTTTCCCATTTACACACTCCCATGTTA